AAACTCCGAGATGACGAAGAGAAGTCACGACAGGAGTTGGATCACTTGCGTCTCCAACTCTTAAATTATCAAGTGTACAGCCGCTGCGAAAATCTTCGTTTCTACGGCATTCCAGAAATCGAAGGGGAAGAGAATACTGAACCCGTTTTGAAAGCTTTCTTGGAGAAAGAGTTAAATGTGGAAAACGCCCAATCTATTGAGTTCCAAAGAGTCCACCGCGTCGGTAAAAAGGACCAAAACACAAGAAAACCCAGGGCCATCATAGCACGCTGTCTTCGCTTTAAAGATTGAGAAAACCTCTTTTCTTGCCGACGCAACATCGATAGCCAGTCGAATTTCGGTATTGGCCCAGATCTACCTAAGCAGGTGACTGATATGAGGAAGACGCTTATTCCGAAGATGGTACAAGCAAGAAAAGATGGAAAACGGGCAGCCTTCAGTAGAACGGAACCCTATAAACTCTTTATTGACGGTGTGGAGGTAAAATCATAAATAAATAGGTTCCAGGTTATTTATTTTTAGAATTCGCAGGAAGTAGTTCACTTCTTATTTTTTTTCGTTTCTATTGGGAGCTATCGATTAGCATATTCCTTAGTTCTCTTCTGAAGTTCGATTTAAACAAAAGTATAACACTTGATCTCGTCCAGGCGTAGCTTCAACAGTTTAATTCTTTACACTGGCTACGTTTTTCATCTCGTTTCTTTTGTTTTGTTATGTATGTTATTCTATATTTATTCAGTTTGCACTTGACAAAATCAGGAATGCGTTAATTGTTCGAGTAACAGTGACCCTTCTGGGAATAACAGCTACTGTTGTTGTCTTTTTTCCACTACACGTATGCAAATTTCAATGGATTTCAACAACTTAAAGTTTAAAACTCTTTTTAAGCTGAACGTTCGGGGTATCTGTTCTTTTGAAAAACGTAAGTCCATTTTCAACTGGCTATACAAGCAAAATTCAGACATCTGCTTTCTGCAGGAAACTTACAGCACTGAAGAGATTGAAAATCAATGGAAAAAGCAGTGGTCCGGGGACATTTACTTTGCTCATGGCTCTAACCATAGTCGTGGGGTCGCCATCCTTATACGTAAATCCTTTGACTTCAAATTGAAATCAATTCGATCGGATGAGGATGGGAGGTACCTCATTTTAGAGACAACTATTCAAGATGTTCCATTCCTTCTGATAAATATTTACGCTCCCAATACCACCACTAAGCAATCGTTGTTCTTCCAAACATTGTCTGAGCTTATCTATGATGAGGGATACAATGATTTTGACTACAAAATTATATTAGGAGGGGATTGGAACGTAACTATGGACCCAGACCTAGATTGTTCGGGTGGAAACCCTGTGTTAAAAGACTCAGTTAAGTGTGTGGAGGACATTATGCTGAATTATGATTTAGTTGACATCTGGAGAATCCGTAATCCTAATAGCAAGAAATTTTCATGGAGACAAAAAAGCCCAATTATTCAAAGACGCCTTGATTATTGGCTCATTAGTGACCTATTACAAGATGACGTAGCTAAAGTCGACATAGTGACAGCTATAAGAACGGATCACCATGCAATAACTTTAGAAATTGACAGTCTAAATGATCAGCAGCGTGGCCCATCTTTTTGGAAGTTCAATAACAGTCTCTTGATGACGCTTTTTTTTTTCGTTGAGCGCTTCGCGAGAACTTTCCTAAGTGGATAGACGAAATTAATTTTTGCGATGATTCGAGAATTAAATGGGACTGGATGAAATACAAAATTCAAGGGAAAGTATATCGTATAGCAAACTGAAAGCTAAAGAGAGGAGAAATAGAATTCAAACAATTGAAAACAGGCTTAAAATATGTGAGGAAAAAATAGCAGAATCACCGACGCAAGAAAACCTTGCCAACCTCGAATCGGTCAAAACAGAATACGAACAAGAGTATGATTACATTGTAAGAGGCTCAATCATTCGTTCCCAGCTACATGGTTTGAACAAGGGGAAAGAAACAACAAGTATTTTCTAAATCTGGAAAACAGAAATAAGAAAAAAAAAAGCTGCATACGAAAACTTATTTGACCAAATGGAGAAGAGACTACTGTTCCGGACACTATTATGACTGAAATTCACAGTTTTTATTCTGAACTTTATGACGAAAAGTCGGAATACAAACTGACTATTCGATTTGTCCTTTTCTGGAAGATACCCTCTCATCTCCTAAGTTAACCGATTCAATGCGGAAACGTCGGGGTCAATTAACATATTCGAATGTTTCAAGGTTCTGTCTACCTTTAGTAACGATAAAACTCCTGGAAACGATGGGCTCACTATAGAATTTTACAAGTTCTTCTGGTCAGAAATCGGAACATTTCTAGTGGACTCATTAAATTATGCGTATTTTCATGGTGAATTATCACATTCGCAAAAAGCAAGCCGTAATAACTTTAATTGAGAAAAAGGACAAAGATAGGAGATGGATAAAAAACTGGAGACCGATTTCTCTGGTAAATGTTCATGTTAAAATTGGCTCAAAAGCTATCGCTAAAAGGCTAGAAAATGTCCTACCACATATTATCCATTATGACCAGAATGCCTTTGTAAAAGGACGAACAATTTTTGATGCAACTCGTACGATAACCGATGTGTTGGAATTTACTAAAATGCGAGACTACCAAGGTATAATGACTGCAATTGATTTTGAGAAAGCCTTCGATTCTCTAAATTGGAACTTCCTCCACAAATCGCTAGAGTTCTTTGGCTTTGGAGAATCCTTCTTGGGGTGGATCAAGACGTTTTATAATAATATATTAAGTTGTGTTTTCAATAATGGTTTTTCCACCCCTCTTTCAATGTTAAACGGGGGTGTTCGCCAGGGCGACCCACTCTCGCCATCTCTTTTCATAATAGTACTTGAATTATTGGCATTATCCATACGTAATAACGATCAAATTAAGGGTATTGAGGTGGATGGTTCCAAATCAAATTAGTTATATTCGCTGATGATATGACATCATTTGTTAGGGACAAATTTTCGATCGCACCCTTTTTGATACTATCGATCTGTTTAGTACATACTCCGGATTGAAGGTCAATCACGACAAAACGGAAATTCTTCTACTAGGAAATATGGAAGTAAACAGCTCAGAACTAGGTGTTAATGAAATAAGTAAGGCCATAAAGATCCTAGGGGTTCATTTCACCTTTAATCACGCACTGTTTTATAAGCTTAACTTTGAATCAATCGAGAAATCTCTGAGGGGATTGCTGAAGGGCTGGAGCTGGAGAGGTCTTACACTACTTGGAAAAATTCAAGTGATCAAGTCTTTCGCCATACCAAAGATTTTATACAGGGTTGTTCTCATTTCAAATAAAGAAGAGTTTATCAAAAAAATAAATACTTTGCTATATTCCTTTGTTTGGAAGGGAAAAGATAAAGTAAAGCGCAGAGCTTTTATTAACCCTATTGATAAAGGAGGCTTGAAAATGCCCAACATTGAGTCAATGATCTCTGCCCAAAGAATAATTTGTATTAAGAGATATCTCTCCATTGATCCCGCTGGCTGGAAGTCTTTTCTGGATTTTTATCTTAGGAAAGTAGGGGGAAAATTCTTGTTTCATTGCAATTTTAACTACACTAAACTACCGGTAACTCTTCCAGAATTTTACAAAGAATGCATTGTGGCGTGGACCCTTTTAAATGAAGACAACCCCTCCTCATCCTCTGAAATAGCAAATCAGGTCATATGGAACAACCAGTTCATTTGCATTGAATCAAAGTCAGTCTATAACAGTAGGCTGATTGATCTTGGAATTGTAAAAATTGGAGACCTCTACGACACGTGGGGAGGTTTCAAGTCGAACAAGGAACCATTATATTCAACTCTCTCACCAGTTGAACATTTTCTACTTTTCAGTCTCTTCAATGCTTTTCCTGAAGAATGGCACAAAATATTAAAAACAAATAGAAACTCTATCTCTTCAAAAACTCATGATCTAATCCAAACTGATTTCAAGTTACGTATTGAAGGGAAAAAAGTCAATTTCCAAAATCTTAAATCAAAGTCATTATATGACAGTTTTGTTTCTAAGATATCCAGTATACCAACAGCGCAAAAGAAATATAACGAAGCTTTCAGCACACACACATTTCAGTTGGACTGGGAAAAGATATATCTACTGCCCTTCAAAACAACATTGGATACTAAATTAAGAGAATTCCAATATAAAATATTAAACAGGATCTTATACACGAACAAGATGCTGTTTAAGTTCAAAAAAGTAGATTCTCCCTTGTGTGATTTTTTTTGTGAAAAGGAGTTGGAGACCATAGAACATCTCTTTTTCCATTGTACAAAAAGTAAGCATGTTTTGGAATGATTTAAAGTCTGTACTTGATTCTTTTAATATAACTATTAGGTTTGATATCATGAATGTCCTTTTTGGGATCTTAGATACAGATAATATAAGCATTCTAGTCAATTACATCATTCTTGAAAGCAAATATTTTATTTACCGCTGTAAGTTAAATAAGGGCTGTTTATGTGTAAGACTGTTAGTCGATAAATTTTAAAAAACGTTTCAAAACGAACGTTTTATCGCGAAAAAAAAACAACAAAATCCATTTCCATGATAAAAATGGAAGCCGTTATTCCCATTAATACAACAGTAGCTGTTATCCAAACTTCGTTTTTCTAATACTCCCTGTATTACTCTGTATTTTAAGTTCACGTCGAATAAGTTATGTAAGCCTTGTAGTGTAGTGCAGTGTAGCTTTTTATTTAATTATTCTATTTTCTTTTTTTTTTTTTTTTGTAATTAAGGTAGTTGTTGTAAATTTTGTAATGTTTGTATGTTTCGATCTGTATGTTGTTTGTACTATACCTGTAAAAAGAAAATACAAAAAAAAAAAAAAAAAAAGAATACTGTAACAGCAGCAACAAGCAGCCTTGACATGCAGGGGAGAGCTAGGAAGATCCTGAAAGAGCCGGAAATTCAAGTCAGTTTTGTTTGCCAGTTTCATGTTGGATGTTTTGGAATGCCTCAGTAAGTTGAGTAAGCGTTAACTTTAGGAGTGACCAAGACTTGATTCAGTTCAACACAACAACCAAGCCATGGATCATTAATTGCATTAACAGCGACCTGCAAGAGCGTTTTCAGAGTATCCAAGGGGCTGATCCAACTTTGCTTGCTTTTTCAGTGTTTGATGCATCTCTCTGGCCAGATGATAGGGTGGAGTTAGGTACTTATGGAGAAGAAAAAATCCGTCATCTTGTTGAACATTTCAGGCCCCTGCTTGAAAAGAACAATTTCGAATTTGAAGCTGTGTATGAAGAATGGGCTGGTCTGAAAGCATGCATCTCCAATACCTACCAAGATTTTACTTTCAAAGCTTTGTGGAAGAGAGTGTTTAACAACTACCATGACAGGTTCCCCAATGCTCTGATGTTAGTTGAGATTCTCATGATCTTACCCCTGGCAACGGCATGCTGTGAACGGGGATTTTCAATCATGGGGAAGATAAAATCAGACTGGAGATCTTGTTTATCTGTGGACATATTAGACTGCCTTATGCGAGTTAGCATAGAAGGTCCTTCTGTTGCTGATTTTAACCCACATCCTGCACTGCAAAGTTGGTGGAACAGTGGTCCAAGAGCAAGACGCCCATATTTCAATAATTAATGGGGTTGAAAAACAAACATTCTATTTGAGCTAGACTCTTAATTTTGTTATGTTTCTATTATGGATAGTGGAAAATATGTTTCTTTCATTTTTGGAAAGTAAAATTTTACTATGGAAAGTAAACTTTCGTATCTACTTTCCACAGTGGCAAGTTATGTCAAAAGTTAGTGTCAAGCCCTGCGTATTTATAGCCTGTGGTACTTCGGTTGTTGCACGTATGTACAAGTATTTGCCTCTCAGCATGCACTAAATGAATAACAAAAAATTGTGAAAGTTTTATTAATTATGTGCTGTATGTGTTCTTGTAATTTAGATATCAGTGCCAGAAGATTACCAGACCTGGTATGAAACAATGTGTGCCAAGTTCCCACCCAAATTCAGCAGGCTTTTTCAGGGACCTATGTGGAGTGGACTGCCACTAAATTTACAAAAAGATCCACTTACAGTAAGTATGATATTCTATGATACATTGATTTTTGTTCCTCTTTTCAGTTGCATAATTATTAGTGTAATGAACATAATGAGGCTACTTTCACATACAATTAATAATATAGTGTTATTTTGCTATGCATAAGTGGTTTTAGAACATGAATCTCTTCTTAGTTTTCAGTCTGACAAAGCCTATTTGTTAAAAAGCACCCTGTAAGACATGCAAGGTCAAAATTTGGTTCCTCTTTCATTTACTACGGTGCAGTGCTCTAAGATGCATCTGTTTTGGTGGCCATGGTGATTAGAACAATAATTTGGGGACTAAACTTGTAGCAAAAGTCACCAATTTGGCGACCTGTGTTTGGCCGTCATGTGCAAAGTGGTCTTTACCAAACAGTTTTTCACGTTTGTTGACTGTGACATGAGTAAACATCAACAAAACTAAGGCTTGGAGCACTGCAGTGTATGTGATTTTTAATCTCCTTGTTTTGTCCCCTTGTTTGTTTGCTTTTCTTGCAGTAATGATATGTAATGTAACTTACAATAGATGTAACATTTGGATTATAAAGATGTATAAATATTAATGAATAATGCTTTGCTTATCAGGCCAGACCCAGTGTTGCAGCGCCCAGTATAAGAACTGTCCAGAAGAACAATGCTTTCTCTGCATTCTCAGACAAACCAGGAATACAGGTATTTAATGCTACTACTTTGAAAAACAAATATTGTAGGTACTGATTAAATATTTTTCTTTCAAAATGTTGCCTTTCACCAGTAGAATTTTGAAAAGGTAGATACATTTTCATTTTTCTCACGTTTTAAATGAAATGTAATATTTAGTCTTTGAGCGTGTCATAATATCTGCTGTTCAGATATCCTAAACGATATCTCCTTTTTTATTTGTCCTATAGATTGAGGCTCTGAAACAGTTAAAAGTTTCCAATCCCAAGGGAAGATTTTGGATAAAGGTAGATGCCTTTGACATCAAGGTTGCTTTGCAAGAGTCAGTACAGGGTCAGTGGAATGGCGACATTGACTTGGGTGATCAGAGAGTAGCCCTGCTGCACCAAGAATACCAGCAACGAAAGTCTCTTTGTAAAGCCAGTGACCTTTTATCAAGTAAAGACCATCTCATGGCAAGGTTACAAAAGCTGCTTGATCGTCTCCATGTGGATGTTACGTTCCTTGCTGATGGCCTTGTTGCTGCTCAAGACGCATATACCAAGAAATTTAATGCCCCAAATACATCCCAAGAGTTGTTGAAGGCTCTTTGTTGGGAGAGGGTAGAATTCAACATGCTGTTGCAGAAGCACAGTGTTTCATTGAGACATATGAAACAATGAAAGTATGTCTGTGTTAGCAAGCCCCAAGGGAGAAGGATGTTGTCAGCCTTACAAAATGTTGAACATGACGCTTTAACGTACCTCACGAACCTATTTGTCAAAAAGAGACAGCCTGGGGCAACCCATGTTCTTTTGTTTTTGGTGAGCGATGAGCGGCGAAACAAGAAACCATATGCTCTGCCAGTTCAATACATCCCGTACAAAAGCATCAAAGACCAGCATGTCAGAGATATGACTGATGCCATAAAGTCTAAAATGATGCAGTTGGATTTAAAGCCAGTTGGTACATTAGATGAGATTATATTCTTTTGTTTAAAGATTAGCAAAGGGCTGTTAAAGTAGTTCTGATTTTCTTTCATTACTTTGAACATTGACACCTCATTGCAGCAGAATTACTCCTTTTGTTGACTTATCATTCTTATGTGTTAAAATATATTGGTGGCGTTTTCCACTAAATGCAGAATGCAGCACTGTTCATATTTCACAAAAATTGAATGTTGCTTGAACATTCTGGTAGGTGCTGTTAGTGACAGCAAGTTTAACAGTCTCCGGACCCAGGGTTCAACTCGGCCACTACACATATGGCAGATCATCCACGATGCCAAGGAAAGTGTTAGTCGACAAAGTGAGCAGACATTGGCTTCAATGCTGAAAAAGACAGGAGGTAACTAATAAATAAAAGAGAAAGCATATGTTTCATTGTTATCATTGTTGATGTGGGATAGTTATTTTCTCACTTGGAGGTTTTTCAGTGTAGGCCAATTAAACCAGTGCATGTTAACACAACTGTTTACTTTAGTTTGGGGCATTTTGCTCACTATACAGTACTGATTTTTTCCAAAATAGTTTGATGTTGAATACTGAGCGCTAAATGTTTTATATTGCTACTGTTTCTTTATTGGTAAAAATCATTACCCCTAATTTTTGTCTCAGAAAACTGTGTTACCTTACGAAAGGTCATTTTACACACTTTGTATCTTTCTTTTGACAAAGAACCATTAGATGGCTCACCAGTTGTTGCTAGGAGAGACGTTACAATCCCGAAAGAGATAATTGAGGAACTGCATCAGCTGCAAGCAAGGGATGGCCTGACATGGGAAGATGCTGTCACCAGTGTAAGGGGCTCCCTGGTTCCAGAAGGTTATACACCTTACCCCTTCAAACACAGTACCCATGAAAGTTTGGCCGATAAATTAAGATCACTTGTGGCAACCTGCCGCTACTGATCAAAGAGATACTGAAATGAAAACCTTGTTTGATGCTGCTGCAGTATTCAGAAAAGCTATTAGGAAATGTAAGAAGTGGAAGTTTACTGGGTCTCTAGAAAACATATCCGATCAGAATTTGCCAATGGAACTGTACAGCTTTTTTAGGTGGGTCATTCAAGGTCCAAACAATTCGCTTTCAGTGGAAAAGAAGTCCAATGAGGTGCATAAACGTGCAATGAGTCTTACTCAAAGCACCGTTTCTGACTGTCTGACTGAGCAACAGGTTAAGTGCAAGACGTCAAAAACTGTTCGGTTGTCAGCTGAAACGGCAGGCTGCAGTCTGAGGTTTGATGGTATTCCATTTCAAATAATTGGTGTAAAGATCCTGGAATGCCAAAATGGACCAGACCGAAACAAGGCACTAAAACGAAAAGAAGCTAAAAAGAAAATGCAAGAGGATGTAACCACTAGCATAATAGAGGGAAGGGTACTTGACCAAGTGGCATAAGGGGAGATCTCAGACAAAAGCCTTCCGGTGGTTAAGGTCTTTCTGCATAGCACCCCCTTATGGTTCAAGGGAAGTACCCTCCGCTTATATTGCACAAGAGGATCCTTGATTTAAGCAAGATAAAAATACTAACATATATACAGCGGGTCTATAATGCATGTCCCAACTTTACCTTGCCCCATACTCCAATCCCAAACCTTTACACCCTCAAAGAAATAAAACGTATTGTATGTTCTTCACCGACAAATTCCTTTTTCAGGTGTTTGATATCTTACTGAATTTATAAAAACATCGCTTCAGTGAGTGTCTACAGGTCGGAACCCTATAGGTCCTATGCTAAGTGTGTCCTTGGTATCAAGACTTTGACTTCACCCTCCCCACCCAGGACGATGGGTGACTGTCCACGCCTCCCACTGAGCTCTGCAATTATCATGATAATCATTCTCAGCAGAGGCCTGATTCAGCTGGGCAAATTAAGAAAAAGGTAGTTGTCAGTCAAAACCTCTACTGAACACTGCTGGAGGGGTTGTGTCAAAACAGCCCCCTCCTGCCCCACTAGTTTTGACCCCCTGGCCTGATCCACCCACCCACTGTCAGGGCAGGACCTAATTTTTTGGACACCAGACTGCAGGCAAAAACCCAGTGCCCATGTTTTAATGAAATCAGACAGATATATATTATATATTATATATATTATTATACTAATACTCAAGCCATAGGAAAAGAGAAAATAGTTTGATGGCTCAATGGAAATATTGGACAGTGCAGGACCCTCTTCTCTTAACATACCCATCCCATCCACTTACTGGTACTCCATACACACTTTTATAGTTCATTTTCCTTTTCAAAAATTCCAGACAGGAAACCAAGTAACTTGGTAATATTTTTCTAATCAATTAGATATTATCATAACTGTTTCAGGAGAATGTTCCTGATCATAGCTACCACGACAGCAAGCGCCGGTTTATAGCCCAAGACACCAAAAAATGTGACTGCCCTGCAAAGATCCATGTTAGAAAGATTATAAAATGTCCCCATAACAATAGATAGTTATATTTAGTAATGATGATCATATTTCTTTATTCTGTAGTGTTCACACTACACTAGTTCACTAGTGTTCACAAAAACAATCTCATACTGGGATGGGAAGCAAATTATTTCTCCTGCCTTCTTCAAGAATATCAGGTGAGAATATCTAATGTATTATACCTTTTTTAAACAAAATATCAATAAACTTTAAGTATGACTGCTATTGTCACAATCTGAAATCTATAGATGTTTTAATAGTATAATGCTATGTTGAAGGTGCTTTCTAAAGGAAGAGATGATGAGTAAGGGACAATGTTTCAACGAAGGGGATTGCATGGATGAAATACCCAAGGTAATTATAAGAATTATCAAAACTTAACACAAATAAAAATTACTCCATTTATAGGGTAACCTCTTTGTAAGATTAATTGACAATCAGCTATACATCTATGTTGATCTCGGGAAAATGATTGGCACTATATTATGCAGGTAACAGAAAAATGTTTCAGCAATGAAAATATAACTTCTTTAGCCTGCAGTGTTTGTTTATATTTAAGAAAGAAGCATTTGTATTTATGAGAAATATTTCTTAATGGCTTCTTTTAGATTTCCTACCCATTAGGTAGTTCCAGTACAAGAAAATAACTATGACTGTGGAATGTTTGCCTGCATGGTAAGGAAAACTTTTTCCATCAACTGTGTCATTAAAAAAATAAAAACATTTAAAAGAAAGAATTAAACTCTTTTTCAATAACAAATTACAAAAACGTACATGTTGCATCATAAGTATAAAACTAATAAAACCTAACTACATCCAGTTTGCAGAGCACCTTAGCAGAGGAAGGAATCCACATTTTCATCAGGTACTTACTCTTACAATGTGGATTGCTTTAGAAATACCTCCTTATATTAGATATACACAAATGATATTTATTCATCCCTTGTTGTCTTTGTTTTTAGACTGACATGCCCTCCTTGAGAAGAGCGATGAGGCAAAGGTTGATCTCCAAGTCTCTAGTTACAATGAAATACATGGCCAAATGACAACTGAATTTTCTTGCTGTTTTTTCCTTTGTTAATTTGTTTTTCCCAATTAACTGATAATTTTGGCCAATGTTTATAATGATCTGTTCTCAATGCAAAAAGTACAAGAAGGAAACAACTCTTTTATCCCTGGACTGCAGTCAGCCACACCAAGGCCCACCATGTTCCTTACCCAGCAACAATACATTGAGACTCCCTAATTTTGTTATTTTAAAAATTTATAGCAGCTTGGCCAGTGTCCTTTGTACTGAACATAATCTAAAACTGCAAGCCCAAGAGGGGGGGGGGGGGAAACTCCCATATGAAAGGGCGGGGATGCTCGTCGTCTCGCCTAGGGGTGTAAATTGCAGTTTTTGGTCTCGCTTAGGGTGTTCTGGGCAAAACACCATCATATTTAGCCACAAAGGTTTCTTTTAGGGCTGCACTAGAAGAAATATTACAAAATTGTATAGCTTCAATTTCTTTTATTTACTCGAGTCATGTAATCAAAGTTTAAAATGATCGCTTTTAGGGGTTGGGCCACACCCAGATTGGTCTCCCTTAGAGGTTTAATTCAAAATTTCTGACGAGCATCCCGGCCCTTTCATCTGGGAGTCCCCCCCGGGATTGCAAGTAAGCTATTAGCTTATTTTGCCTGGCCTTTTATTTATATGTATTATTTGCAAGTTTTGTTTATACAAACTTCCATTTTACTTTTTATACAAGATAACATGTCAATAAAGTACATACTTATCAGTAAAACGTTGTCTTCTCCTCTTAGCTTCTGTCACTGAAACCTGGTTTCGGTCTACGTTAGATACTATTTCGTGGCGTGTCGACACTAAATAACATCTACCGAAACCAGCCTCAGCTAAGTTCCTCGGAACGACCATAAGCCACGTAATTCGGCGCAATACTGCTGAGTCTGTTGTAGATTTAACAGCTTTCAGTAATATAAACTGTTAATGTCAAAAATTGACCCTTTTTTGACTCAAATTAACATTCTCGCAGTGATCGATCAAATGAGGGGAAATCCAGGGTTCATTTTGTAAGACGCCGCTGACATATCGATGACTCATCTGATTTAGGTCGATCTAGTGCTGCTATCATGTTGAGTTTGGGCTGCCTGTGCGCGCACGAGGCGGTATTATTCCAAGATGGCGGAAGTTTGTGATTGGACAGATACTGAATACACTTGGGCTGTCAAACACTTATCTGTAAAAAACGGTAAGTTTTCTTACAACCAGCAATTAGAGTGTAGATGTCAGTCTAATATTCAACGTTTTTTTTAGTGCAAATGGATTCAACGTGACAGTAGAACCTCGCTTATCTGGACTCTGTTGTGATACGGTTTTTATAGCACTTGTTCGAAAAGTCAAGACCATGGTGCTTTCTATTTAAAAGGAGAAGCAATTTGAGGTGACCTTTGGTTAAGAGTGCTGACTGGCAGAGACAGCACTAACCATGAATAATCCCTCTACTATAATAAGCTTAAAATGTTAAGACCTCATTTTTACAAAGCTAAAATCGAAGAGAGTTACTTCACTTAAGGCACGAGTTACTTTTAAGTATAGCAAGAAGACACGGAGAATTAAGACCAGGGGCATAGCTGCCTTTAAGCCATTAGGGAGTTTAGGCAATGTCAACAGTGACATCAACAAGAACGGCATAAAAGCAATAGGTTTAGATTGGCAAAACAACAACTTTGCACGCTTTTTTGAAAATTTCTTTGCCATCACTGCACGACCACGATGTGAAAATGCCTAATTTTTTGGAGGACATGAACACTAGGCAGCAACCTTATTTTCTTTTTGTGAACTTTGAAACAGGCTTTTAGAATTGGACTCCAAAAAAAATTGCCACGATTTGACGAATTGAATGAAATAGAGTAAGTGCAATAAGTTTAAAGCAGTGTAACTTCACTTTATAAGCAACATTTTTGTAGCCATCACCAACTTTGTTGTTTAAGCTCCCAATTAATGCACCTGTCAATGTTAAGCCCCTGGGTAAGGGGGGCTGGGCATACCCAGGGATTTAATGTTTTAATCCTATTTTCATGTCAAATTCTGTACCCAGGAAGAAAACACTGATGTCAAATACCCCTTCCCTGGGGGCAAAGTTTGTTTGCTGTAAGATGATATAAATTACAATGCAATGCAATTTCCTTATCACTGTACTTACATTAACAAACTTTATTTCACTTAAGATTTTCTGCATTGCAGAGGTTGCACTTTCAAGGACAACAAATCCCCTGGGGATGCCTGGCCCCCTACCCTGGGGCTTAACATTGACTGGTGCATAAGCCAGGCTTAACAGATATTTAGTTCAAAATGAGCTTATGTGATGCAATTTTAACAGTGTTTGAAGT